GATACAGCAGAGGATTGGGAGAATGTCATGTGGTCAGATGAAACCAAAGTAGAACTTTTTGGTATAAACTCAACTCGTCGTGTTTGGAGGAAGAAGAATACTGAGTTGCATCCCAAGAACACCATACCTAATGTGAAGCATGGGGGTGGAAACATCATGCTATGGGGCTGTTTTTCTGCCAAGGGGACAGGACGACTGATCCGTGTTAAGGACAGAATGAATGGGGCCATGTATCGTGAGATTTTGAGCCAAAACCTCCTTCCATCAGTGAGAACTTTGAAGATGAAACGAGGCTGGGTCTTCCAACATGACAATGATCCAAAACACACCGCCCGGGCAACAAAGGAGTGGCTCCGTAAGAAGCATTTGAAAGTCCTGGAGTGGCCTAGCCAGCCTCCAGACCTCAACCCCATAGAAAATCTGTGGCGGGAGTTGAAAGTCCGTGTTGCTCGGTGACAGCCCCAAAACATCACTGCTCTCGAGAAGATCTGCATGGAGGAATGGGCCAAAATACCAGCTACTGTGTGTGCAAACCTGGTAAAGACCTATAGTAAATGTTTGACCTCTGTTATTGCCAACAAAGGTTATGTTACAAAGTATTGAGTTGTATTTTTGTTATTGACCAAATACTTATTTTCCACCCTGATTTACGAATAAATTCTTTACAAATCCTACCATGTGGATTCATGGATTTTTTTTTTCACATTCTGTCTCTCACAGTTGAAGTGTACCTCTGGTGCAAATTACTGACCTCTGTCATCATTTTAGGTGGGGGAACTTGCACAATCGGTGGCTGACTAAATACTTTTTTGCCCCACTGTATAAGTCTCTCCTACAAAAATTATATTTGTCAAATACTTTGTGATAAATAACAGTCCAATGTGATTAACTTATTCTGAGGTGATTCTCTCATCTGTGTTGTACACATAAACCTCTTCTCATCCGCTCCAGCTCCTGTTCAGACCAACCCTGCAGAGCAGAACCAGGCCTAAAATCAGCCGCTCCAGTCCGACCGTGAGAGAAGATCCTCTCCATGGAAGCAGCTTATTTATATCAGGGACCACAACAACAGCAACCCGAGTGCCGGCTGCTTGCTAGATAACATGAAGGGCCTGAAGAGGCTGATGAGTAGAGCTTGAAGTTGGTTGGGTTGACATGATGATTCTGGCTTTTAAACATTTTAATATAAATTCTTTTGTTAGTTTAATTCCTTTTTTTGGCATATTCAGACAACCTCCTAATTTCTCTGTGGTATGTGGAAGCTCAACATTTGAGCCGTCTGTGTTTTCACGTTGTGCAAACTCGACTGGAACCCCTGCAAAATGGAAAAAAGTATTTTATGGCTTTGAGTACAAGACGCAGGATTTGAATATGTAGATGCAATGTAATAAAATACAGCAGCAACCAGACCAAAGTTAAACTTCATAAACGAGTTTCAGCCTTAAACCACCAAGCGCTTCATAAACCAACTTCTGGAAGATGGCACGTTCACTTATTAAACTCCTTCATGAAAAACATGTCTGTGTGTTTGCACACAGATAGTAGCTAAACTAGAAGCATTATCACCTGCATCATTCAAGTGGATGGTACTTGAGCCAGGGTCTCTTCACACAGGTTAACTTTAGTTCCATTAATCATGACTCAGATTTGAGGCAGAATGAAGTGAGTTAAGCTAAAGTGTGTTCAGGTCATGGAGATACAAGAGTCTCAAGACTGGGGTGATACGATTGTTGAGGTTTTCTCTGTTTTCTTCGTATCACTGAGGTCTTTACCTTACAATATTAAGCACCTTTAGGGGACTGTTGTTGTGATTTGGTACAATATAAATAAAACTGAAATTAATAAATACAAATCAAATGTCATTTGCAGAATCGGCTGGTAAGACAGATTTATTGGTATTTTCTGAGTCGTGTTTGACCAATCATGTTTGAGCAGGTTTTGGCTTCTTGCAGGTGGACAGTCTGTGTGAAGAGCAAAAGGCTGAGCACAGGTATTTAAGCTTATCCACCCTCGCTCTCTCCACTCCTTGCATGCTAATCTTCCCACCCATCTCCCTCTCATTCACACACACAGTACAGGGAGTGCAGAATTATTAGGCAAATGAGTATTTTGTCCACATCATCCTCTTCATGCATGTTGTCTTACTCCAAGCTGTATAGGCTCAAAAGCCTACTACCAATTAAGCATATTAGGTGATGTGCAACTTTGTAATGAGAAGGGGTGTGGTCTAATGACATCAACACCCTATATCAGGTGTGCATAATTATTAGGCAACGTCCTTTCCTTTGGCAAAATGGGTCAAAAGAAGGACTTGACAGGCTCAGAAAAGTCAAAAATAGTGAGATATCTTGCAGAGGGATGCAGCAGTCTCAAAATTGCAAAGCTTCTGAAGCGTGATCATCGAACAATCAAGCGTTTCATTCAAAATAGTCAACAGGGTCGCAAGAAGCGTGTGGAAAAACCAAGGCGCAAAATAACTGCCCATGAACTGAGAAAAGTCAAGCGTGCAGCTGCCAAGATGCCACTTGCCACCAGTTTGGCCATATTTCAGAGCTGCAACATCACTGGAGTGCCCAAAAGCACAAGGTGTGCAATACTCAGAGACATGGCCAAGGTAAGAAAGGCTGAAAGACGACCACCACTGAACAAGACACACAAGCTGAAACGTCAAGACTGGGCCAAGAAATATCGCAAGACTGATTTTTCTAAGGTTTTATGGACTGATGAAATGAGAGTGAGTCTTGATCATCAAAGATGAGCTTGTGGGGCCTTTTCGGGTTGAGGATGGAGTCAAGCTCAACTCCCAGTCCTACTGCCAGTTTCTGGAAGACACCTTCTTCAAGCAGTGGTACAGGAAGAAGTCTGCATCCTTCAAGAAAAACATGATTTTCATGCAGGACAATGCTCCATCACACACGTCCAAGTACTCCACAGCGTGGCTGGCAAGAAAGGGTATAAAAGAAGAAAAACTAATGACATGGCCTCCTTGTTCACCTGATCTGAACCCCATTGAGAACCTGTGGTCCATCATCAAATGTGAGATTTACAAGGAGGGAAAACAGTACACCTCTCTGAACAGTGTCTGGGAGGCTGTGGTTGCTGCTGCACGCAATGTTGATGGTGACCAGATCAAAACACTGACAGAATCCATGGATGGCAGGCTTTTGAGTGTCCTTGCAAAGAAAGGTGGCTATATTGGTCGCTGATTTGTTTTTTTGTTTTTGAATGTCAGAAATGTATATTTGTGAATGTGGAGATGTTATATTGGTTTCACTGGTAAAAATAAATAGTTGAAATGGGTATATATTTGTTTTTTGTTAAGTTGCCTAATAATTATGCACAGTAATAGTCACCTGCACACACAGATATCCCCCTAAAATAGCTAAAACTAAAAACAAACTAAAAACTACTTCCAAAAACATTCAGCTTTGATATTAAAGAGTTTTTTGGGTTCATTGAGAACATGGTTGTTGTTCAATAATAAAATTATTCCTCAAAAATACAACTTGCCTAATAATTCTGCACTCCCTGTATTCTGGCTTGGTTCCACTGTAATTCATTACTCCTCTCAAACTAAAAATCACTGGCTATAATTTTGTGTTGATTTATTTACTTATTTGTTTTTCCTTTTTATGAAACTAGATTTATAGTATGACTACAAACAAAAATGAGCAGAGGGAGCACAAATTCTTAGCCTTTATATCAGCTTGCAACACCAATCCTGCTGAACACGCATTGCTCCCAGAGACAAAGTCATTAGTCTGAGCTCAGTGGGATCTCAGACCATGTCTGAGGCCAGTCACTGTCACGTCTCAGGCTAAGTTTTAACAACCACAGTTCAGATCCAGAGTGAGGCGAATCAAGTTGAGCGGAAGTTAAATGTGATTAGAAAAATGCAAAGTTGAGAGAGATCTGAGACATTGAGAAACTCTGATTACAGAAACACAAACTGAGTGAAAGCAGCATGTAGTCTGAAGTATGCATGAGATACACACATTTCTGTCACACATTATACCTTTATAAACTCCAGTTTGTGTGTTTAGTCTGATGTAGTTTCTTTGAAACGTCCATTTCTGTCACTTGAAATGAGTGAAACCTTCACAGTGACTCCAGGTAAAGTCTTACTGAGAAGAGAAAAAGTCAACATTAAGCGCGTCAGAGCTGCCGGAGTTTGATCTGAATGTTTTTGTCCAGTCAAATCTCCAAAGAACAAAACAAACCTTGTCTCAGGCTCTGTCAGCTCTGTCAGTGGTTCTGCAATGCTAACAGCTCTACTCACGGTGTGACTGACTGCACTCAGCACAGACAGTTCACGGAAAATAAAAGACTTACAGATGGCGCATAGAATCAGGCTTTTAATGTGGAAAACCTCCAGGAAGTGTCGGTTCCGACTGATGGCTGGAAAGACAGGAAGTAAAAACTTTTCTTTTCAAGAGAAACTCAGAGTGGTGAGTATGACCAGACTCTGATTGCATCAGAGTGATGAAGAACATTAAACTGGACTTTCCATCAGCACTGATTATTGTCAGCATATGCTCTGGAGACACAGCAGGGACTCCCAGCTCTGCCACTCCTTCACCGAGTGTGTACACCTGATCTGACCTGCTGCCGGTTGGGCTTTAATAATTCAGCCTTCCCCTCCGCCTGATCTCTCCTCCATCTGTGAAGATCAAGCTTGTGTAAAGTGATTACTCATTTCGGCTGGCGCAGGCCCTGTGCCGAGCCTCCCTCATGACCAAGCTGTTTACCGAGGCCTCCAAAGCTGCCGAGAACGGGAGGTGTGGGTGCAAAAAGCATCACGTCCGAGTCGATCTCACCTAAACATAACTACAGAAGCTTTATCTCCCCCAAGATTCACAAATCACAGGAGGCTATTAACTCACTTTGCTCCTGCGTGACTTCACAGCTTTATGTTTTCTTTGTGGTCCAGAGAAATTCTCCATGGCACAACGTGACACTCATTCACTCATTCACTCATTCACTCATCATCCAGCAGTCACCTGTCTCTTGGTGTGCTCGCTGACTTCCCCCGGCATGTCATGGGCACTCTTGATGAGCGTGCGGGCAATGTGGTAGTAGTACACAGAGATGATGGCCAGAGGGATGAGGAAGTAAACCAGGAAGATCATCACTGAGTGGATCTTAGGATGCATCTGATTGGACAGCGGGTAGGGCACGCAGTTCACAAAGGTGACATTTGTGTTGTCCCTGTGACCCTGAGAGGAAACAAGGAGAGGAAATTAGGAAAGGAGAGAGGACAAAGAGGAGACAGCAAGGAAAAGAGAGGAGTGGAAAGGAAATAGAACAGAAAGTGTTTTTGTTCTTAGACACATTAAGATGAATAATATGTCCGAGAAGTGCTGAAGGAAGAATGAGGAAATGAAACAAGGAGATGGAGAGGAGGAGATTATGTAGAAAAGTATTCAGTGTGATGAAGACGAGGGAGGAGAAATAAAAAGGGAACAGATAAACAGAGAAAGAAAATCAGTGAAGAGAAATGAAGCAAGAAGGAAACAAATAACAAATACAGGATGGGAGGGGGCAGAATGAAAACCAGAAACTCGTTTCCAACAGCATGGACGCAGCAGGTACACAAACTAAATGTTTCCTCTGACAGAGGAAACGCAGCACGTTAATATTCTATAAATCGCTCAGAAACAACGATCCTGGTTGTTTTGTGTCACCCTGCGTGAGATTGCCCTAATACGTTTCTTACATCAGCGAGCAGAGACATTTCATCAGCTCTCGTCATCCACCATCCCAGCACGAAAACGCAGCAGATCGATGCCCAGCCTGTGGCCACTGGGGCAAGGGGGGAGTGTGAAGACGTGTTCGGGTAAAGGAGGGGAACATGGACTGTAAAGTGAAACGTTTACCACATTATTCTGCAGCGTTTTACCCTCCAATGACATTGCACATTTCTCTCCAGAGGGTCTGATGCTGAGGCCAGTGCAGAATTTTCTAATACTTGTACTAGTACTTCACTAGCTGGGACCACATCCTCAGTAACGATAAGCGATGAACTATGAACTGGTGCTGCGGTTTGAAGGCCTCAAAGGGGACTGGCAGCGGCTCCCGGGCCGGGCAGATCCCCATAGAGCTTGAGAATGTGACGTCATTCAGGGGTAAAACCGCAAAGGATTCTGGGAACTCGTGGCAAGAGGTACTAGCGCACGCAGGCTTTCAATTGAAATTACATTACACAGCGATAAAAAGAAACACAAAAAATGTCAAGAAGCTGTTGTATTATTAACTGCAATAGCTGGTCGCATGACAGCCACTGGAAGCCGACGGGTAAAGAGATCGGTTGTTATCGGATTACGTCGTTGAAGAGAAATTGTTTGAGCCATGTTTCCGAAGTAACAAAGAGGCGACGGATGGCCTGGATTGCAGCCATTCAAAGACCAAATATAACGTCCCAGAACCCTCCAGCTCACAGGTTAGTCTGCTCCAAGCATTTACACAAAGGTAAGTGTTTTGTAGTAGTTAATACTAGGGGTGCAACGATATTCGTATCGATATTGAACCGTTCGATACAGTGCTTTCGGTTCGGTACGCATATGTATCGAACAATACAAAATTTGTAATTTATTTTATCAACTTTCCTTCTGACGATGCTGTCTGTGTTGAGCTCTCAGTGAATCTGCGTTCGACTACTCCGCCTAGGGTCGACAGTGCAGCCTAGGCGGAGTAGTCGAACGCAGATTCACTGAGCGCTCAACACAGACAGCATCGTCAGAAGGAAGAGCGCAGGGCAAGCTAGCGAGACAGAAGTTAAGCTCTCCTTACAACATGGACCTCCCCCACCCTCATTCAGATCTGGCGTTTGGAATTATTTTGGTTTTCATGTGACGTATGACCCTGAAGGTAAGCGAGTCATGGACTAAAGTAAAACAGTATGTTGGATGTGCCATGCAATGCTCAATTACATGGGTGGGAACTAGTGTGTTAGCGCAGTTAGCTCGTTAACGTGTTGGCCGTCTAGCCCCATGCACGGGGCGATCGGCGGTAGCTCGTTAACGGAGATTTGCCGTGTTGTGGCGTTAAGGTCATTTCAACGAGATTAACCTGAAAGCACTAGTGGGAACACAACGAATATGACTGCACATTTACGCCGACATCATCCTAGTGCAAAGACAAAAACAACAAGCATGCTACTAACTTTAGCCGAGTCATTTAGACAGCTGTTTAATATGCTGCTGAGAATATAGCCCAGAAGAAGCGGATAGTATAGCTTTTATTTTGGAAAGAGACATTTCTCTGTAATAAACTCTCTTTTCCAAAGATGAGTGATTCCTCAATCAGATACAGGGCTCGCAATATCGCTAGCCCAACGTCCTGGAGCTAGCGATTTTTTCCAGTCGGGCTACCAAAATCTATCTCTGCCCTGCCCTATTGTAGGAAGGAAAAATATATGTCAATGCTTTTGCATTCTTTCAGAAATGTAGCTGGGTAATTATGTCATTGGCATCGGTGAGCCACTGTCAATATGTGACATATTGAAATCGCGTTTGAATTTGCGCTTGTTTTTTTTGCTTTCACTTTGCAATCGTGCGAACTGTGTATAGAGAGCGACAGCACTGATCTGTGAGTGATGATAATTTGTGCACCAATTCCTCTGACATCGTCTTATCAATCGTTAGCTTACTGTGCAAACATGACAAGTAAAATCTCCCGCAGCAAGCTTAAACATGTGAGAGGTTGATCGCGCAGAGAATCGCTGAGCTTATGTGAGTGCGTGTGTAAAAGCAGCAGGATATATATTTCACTACGATGACCTGGATGACTGAGAACCTTCACAGACAGATATATATTTCAGTTCTGCTGAGCCAAATAAGACAGGTCAGGGTGAAGAAGTGACAGCCAAAGAAAAGCTTACCACAAAACGGAGAAGTTATGACAAATCAGACTATAAGGCAAAAAGAAAGTGCAGCTTTATGGTTTCATGGACAAAAGAATTTCTGTGGCTGCAATATGACGAGCTAAATAACCAGGGCTGCACATAAGTGGTCCGCAGGTGCGCATTCGCTGTCAAAATAAAAAACACGCACAAGGGTTAGGGTTAAATTTAAAAACTGTACTTTTGAGTTAAAATATATATTTATAATTTTAATAAATGACAAATTAAAAAGGCATGAACATTTTTTTTGTATCGAAAAAATATCGAACCGTGACACCAAAGTATCGAACCGAACCGAACCGTGAATTTTGTGTATCGTTGCACCCCTAGTTAATACGTCATTTTTCTTAACATAATTGGTGATATAGGTTACAAGCAAGTCTGGCGCTGAACAGAAATTGTCGCGTTATGCTCCTTTGTTTATTGTGCATAAATAGTGAATTGTCCTGACACAATATTGTGTTTCGCTTCTGTTATTATGGTACATTGACAAAAACATATACTTTTATTCCCAGGATAAAACAGTTGTTTTGTATCACTAATTGCCCAGTGCGATTACAGCATACAATATTATTGTCACTGCTACATTTCTGTAACACGTACCAGAAATTATTTCCACTACTAATTAATTACCATTGAGCTCAAAGGTCCTATTAATAAACGGTTAACGAATGTGTATTTATGAAGACGATTTGTGAGACTGGTAAACTTATGATATGTACGATGGTCTTTCGTTCTACACGGTGCATTTCAAGGTCCTGTCCCATCCGTCGGTAAACTGTACCTGGGCTTGTTGCAGTGACCTGAAGTTACTAAACTTCATGAGTGTCATGGCTAGACGGTCCTCACTGATCGTCTTGCCAATTTGTTGTGGTGTTTGTGTGTACTGTGTCGTGTTCTCCTCTCCATCCTGGGCATGTGTTTTTCTGCTGGAACATGTACTTCCGGAAGCCGTGGCACAGAACGGCAGTTGACCGGAGGGGAGTGTCCTAAGCTAGAATCATCGCACCTGTGCAGAATTACCTTGCCAGCGCAGACCTATTTAACGGGGCGGTTGAGTCACAACCAACGCTGGAACGTTGAACTAAACCGGGTAGCGTAGTCATGATTAGCATACCCGGTTTGTGTAGGAGAGGACGTTTTCGTTATTGAGCGTGTGTTTTTTCTCATCTGCCTCCAGGGTTCAAGGATTGGAGGAGGAGCCGGCACCAGGAGTTGTTGTGGATTATTACTGCACTGTCACCGTGAGGAGAGGTCACCGTATCACTGCACTGCCCTTTTTGGATTATAGACTTGAACTGTTAACTCACCTTTTCACCGTAAATAAATCCACTGTCATTCTGCAAGGAGTCTCGCACCTGAGTCCTTTAATCCAATTCACCATGACAGAACGTTCCAGCCAAGTGGACTCAGCGGACTCGGCACCTTGGCGGCGCGAGCTGTCGCTCCAGGCGGCGCTACTAGAACGCCATGAGAACATGTTACAACATTTCTCCAAGGAGCAATCAGCGCTAATCCAGGTTGTGACAGAGCTAAAAGGTATGTTGCTATCTCCACCTGGAGCTGCTGGGGGGCCTTTACCAGTGCCACCTCCGATCAACGTCGCTGCTGCTTGCCCACTGCCCCCCTCCCCTCCTCCGCCACAGTGTGAACATTTGTTGCCAGTCCCAGAAAAATTTTCCGGAGATTTGGACAAGAGTAGGGGATTTTTAATGCAGTGTGCCCTCACGTTTAGGCAGCAGCCTCAGGCTTACGCCACTGATTGTTCTAAAACCCGGTTTGTGAAGGAGAGGACGTTTTCGTTATTGAGCGTGTGTTTTTTCTCATCTGCCTCCAGGGTTCAAGGATTGGAGGAGGAGCCGGCACCAGGAGTTGTTGTGGATTATTACTGCACTGTCACCGTGAGGAGAGGTCACCGTATCACTGCACTGCCCTTTTTGGATTATAGACTCGAACTGTTAACTCACCTTTTCACTGTAAATAAATCCACTGTCATTCTGCAAGGAGTCTCGCACCTGAGTCCTTTAATCCAATTCACCATGACAATGAGTGTATGCACTCACTCCAAGAACCGTATAATTATAAATATGAGTGTGGTGAAAGTTGGGCAGCACGCTAACGTATTTTGTCCACTCTGTGTGCTCGTACGGGTCTAACCCTTTCACTCGATTGATTTTTTCCTCGTATCTTTTCTTTGACTTTTCATAAAGTCTGTCTTTGTACGGACCGGCATTGTTCTCCTTTGTTGTGTACATAACTTTTTTGGGGCACAAAGATAAAGCAAGAAGGTATTGGAACCGGAGAATGAACGTTTTGCGGTGCTGCAAATGCTTGCGTTTGATGCGGTACTTGGATTGTTTTGCCACGAGTTCCCGGCATGCAATGCGCGAAAGTCACGTGGTCTGTCAAACTCTATGTATTAACGAGAAGTGAAAGAAGGAAAATGAGAAGAGAAGGGAAAAAAAAGGGGGGGCATGAATATATATATAGCCTGAGGCCGGAAGGGGCGTGAATGAGGCGTGGTCCCGCTCCTGAAATTGATGATGATAGGTGGTGGTTCAGGAGCATTCAGACCCGCACTAGCACACACAGAGATAGTTTCTACCCACAAGCCATCAGGCTTTTGGACTGCTGACATTCTGCACACACTATTACACACTCACTACAACTACTGGACTCTACACACACTGTCACTTTAACCACTTTAAAATCCTCACTGCGCAAGTTTTTTTTCACAAAATGTAAATACCAAATAACTGTCTTAAATTCTCTTAATATTTTATAGTTTAGTATTTTGTTATTTGTTGCTGTAGTTGTAGTTGTTGTCGCCTTGTTCATGTAAAGCTGAGGAGAATGAGCCAAAGAATTTCGTTACGGGTAAATGTGGCTACACTGTTTATCTGTATATGACAATAAAACTTGAAACTTATAATACTAGTACTGTTTGCAGGAGTTGATGTACGTTATGGTACCTGCATGGAGACGACTTGGGAGAAAATAGCCTCAGGAACAGCCAGCAGGACGGAAAGCAGCCAGATAGAAACAGCTTTCAGACACGTCCAGAAGACAGCGCTGGATGTCTGGATGTCCATGGGGTTTACTATGGCCTTATACCTGCAAGGGATGGGGGGAAATGTCAGTAAAACGTTTATGGAATAAAACAATAAGAACATGATAAAACACTTTACATGTACCCAGGTAACGAAAACAGTTAACTTATTTAAAATCTTATGTGAAAGAAAAACATTTACAGCCCAGTTCACACTTTAAAACGGGCACAAGCTGCTCTTCATTGTGGACACTGATGAAACATCAGGGTAACAGCAGCAAACTTAAAGTCTTACACTTTCTCCACAAGTAGCTCGCTCCCTCACTGCTCCTCTCCAGTCTTTTCATTCTTCCCATTTTCAGCTACCTGATTCCTCACACCTTCCAAACTCCCCTCATTCCAATGATGCAGTAATTGTCCATGTAATTGTAACATGCCCAGCCATCCAGCTAAGGAAATCGCACAAAGTTGATTCTGTTCATCTGGACGTAGCATTTTCAGCGGGAGAAACATTTTGTCTCTCATCCAAGTGACTTCTTCAGTCTCAAGACTGCAGAACACAACATTTTCAGTCATTTGTAGATTTATGTTTAGCATCAATAACTTTTAGATTTGTTTTCTGTGTGATTTTCAGTCCATCACATCACTGTGGACGAATTCAAGCTCAATTTTCTGTGGCATTATGTTAAAACACACCTAAACACTCCAGATCAGCAAACTGCAAAAACATTTACAGTTTTACTTATGCCTGTTAAGGATCAACTAACCAAATGCATTTACAGGTATTTGCTCCCTCCTTACAGTAAGGGTTTCTTTGTCTACACAGAGACAAAGAAACTGAAAACTGTTTTCACATAGCTGTATGTCTCAGTCTCTGCACACAGGGATGAAGAAACATGGAGATTTGCTTTTGTAGTCATAACAGCTAAAATATTCATACTTTAAGGCTTGTTTGAAGGGTGGGAATTTATTTAAATGACTGTAAACATCAACTAAATAATTCAGGGGTTAACTCTGTTTGCTGTGTAGCTGCTGGTTGGAGGAATGATGTCAAATGTTTAAGTTGGTGTTCATTTTATCCAACTTCCAAAGGACAATGTGAGACATCTGCAGGCGTTTTCATTGGCTTCTGGTGTCTGACAGCATTATCTCAATGATAATCACATACTCCTGGCTCTCTGTTATCATATACCTGCTGCAGCTTCAGTGTCCTTTCCTCTCTGATCAGCTGCCAGGTTTTGCCTCCCTGCCTGTTTCTTGACTTTTCTCCTGCCCTTTTGCTCCACTCCCTTCTGATTCCTGCCACTCTCACACTGACTGAAGCTCATCCACTCACTTTGCCCCTCGGTCATTTCTACCTGTTTTTAAAAGTAGTTTCAACTTCCTATCTGCCGCTGTCATGCATTTGATGACTGCACTGCACAGACAGATTAACATCCCAGTGAAACTGGAAGATAATAACGTTAAGAGAGATGCACCTCATCTGAACAATGAAATGAACTCTTATCAGTCTAAGATGCAAATAATATAATTTGACCTACTGTTCACTTCTAAATATTTACAACCCTCAGATAGATATAGATATATAGATATATATACTTTATTTTTTTACATTTCACACTTTCTACACATCAGTATTTACCTCTTCAACCTCTTTGATGAGAACATATTCATCAGAAAGAACTCATAGTGATAATTAAGATTAGCCACTGCAATATTGTTAGACCTCATCATTATAATGCTGAGGATGGTCAGGTCTCATATCAGACACACTTTACAATTACTAACAATCTGTTTTAGAATGCAACACCAAAATCAAGAGTAAAACTGTGTTCCAATAAGGGCAACAAGATTAGACCCGTTAGTGCTACAACACCTAGGCTCAGAGTTACAAATCATCTATGAATGAAGACAAATATGAACTCACAGTACTGAGTGAACAATCAGCTAAAGAAAATCCACACAGGAGCTCAAAAGACTACCAAAACAAAACAGGAAGTGAGGAACTATAACTAACCAGGACAGTGCAGACACATGAAAACACTTAACCCTCCTGCCATCCTTTAAAAAACTCACACCCATCACCCTAGGGACCATTCTCAGCCACGCCATAAAAAGACCATATATCCATATTTTATTCCACTTTAAATTAGCCAACCTTGTAAAACTACTTCTCCCTGAAATATTCATGTAAAGTTTTAGTTATATTTTCGTTGTTTTAACCCTTCAAATCCCAGTGTTATTACATGAGCGCCCTGTGTTATAAGCCCCAAAAACCAAAAAACGAAACTAAATATTTCCACAAAAAACCAGTTGAAGTAATATGTGATTGTCATTATAAGTAGGCCTTTAGATGGACCAAAGATTGGCACCAACATACATTTTGACCTGCCATTATTTTTTTTGCATTTTTTTTGCAATTTAAAAATTAAAACTTCAAGGCCCTGAGTCTTCATTGACATCCAAGAAAAGAAGAAAAAATAAAATCATATGATGATAATTTGGGGTTGAAAAATAGCGTTTATAATGGAAGTCAATGGGCAGAAAATGGTCCCCAGGGTGATGGGTGTGGGGATTTCTGCTGCTCAGCCATTTTAGGCTGATTTAAGGAATTCACACTGGAATATTAACATTGACAGGTAAAAACTATCCTGTGGCAAGTTTGGTTATCAGCCATTTAACACATAGCAGTGGCACAAAAAGGTCCCAAGAAGGCAGGAAGGTTAACATAGGCAAAATGACAGAATAGAGACACACAAAGAACTTGACACTTAAAGACAAAGAGTGCATCACAATCAAAAGCAAACACAAGCAACAAACACATAGGAGCATTAACACCACACCCATTAGAGACAGTTAAAATGTTAAAATATGTTCAACAAAGAGTGTATTTCTTTCCTTGGTATGTTTAATCAGAGTGTTATAGCTAAACATGTAATGAAGGCTAAAGAAAAAGGACAATAAACACAATGCTTTTTCATTTAAATGTATTTATATTCTCTATCCGCTACTTTCATATGTGCATCAGATAAACTGTTGATGATGCTCCTTGTGTGACATTAAAACCTTCCACAAGAAGAGATCACTTAAAGAAAACATGTGCTCAACACAAATCTTGTAACTTTTGTTTTTATGCTTATCAAGATATTCCAGCTTTTCCACATCAGCAAAGCATTAAAACGTCTTTCATATTCTATTTGAAAATGGTCATAAAACAGCTGGAAACAGAGCTAATGCAAGCACAATGACGCATACTTCCTCCGTGCGGTGCCTGTAAAGAGTCTCCCTCTATTGAAGCAAACAATGCTGAAAAAAATGGGCTCATTGCTGAAGGTAAGCGGTACCCCCGACCCTGTTAGTCTTCATCAAACTCATACAAACACAGGTGAAGCACTTTGCAGCAGGTCTGAAGAGTACACCTCCAATGGTGTATTGCTTCCCTGTGCAGTAGAAGCAGTTTAGTCCAACCTGTGGCCGTGAGGAGGAAGTCCAACAGTGGATGCGAGGGACTGAAGGATTCAGCCCTGAAATGATTTTGTATTATTCTGCAAAATGAACAGAATACTAAAAAAAACTATTTAACTATTTCTATGAAAACACAATTTCAAATTAGACATCAAGGTCCTGCCACTGTGCAAAGACTAAAAATCATTACTGCATTAACCATTGATCACACTTCATATTTTCGCACTGAATGCAAACATAAATCATTTAATAACCACATCATTTTCTTTTGCTGGCATTAGTGGCTCCAGTCTCTTTGTTACTTAATGAGAAACCACATCATCCATCGGGTGGCAGGGGAGGGGACGCAATAGTACTTTGTCACACTAATCACAATTATTCTTTATGTGTAATCGTGGAGCTGAATTTTAAATTCCTCATTAGGCCAAGCAGATCAGTCATTCAGCTGACAGGGACACAGCAATTTTTTTTTTGACACTGTAATTTTTATTGATAGTTTTGTCACAGTTTAAACATAAACATGTATTGCATTACAAGAGAAATAACCATGCAAGCACACAGTCAAAACAAACAGAACTAAAGCAAACAAAAGGTGTGGGTGCCAATTCTAATCAACTACCGTATGCATGCCTGCCTTTACTCCGCAGCATACATACTCCAGCTTATATACGTACTTTTATACGGGCATGCATCAATAGATATACAGAGTTATAGACCTTAAATGTTTTGTTCTTTTTCTTGGTGCCATAAAATGTCCACTTCTCCCACTTAGCAACGAAAATATCTTCCTTTAATCTGAAAATGTAAGTCATTTTTTCCATTGCATAGATTTCTCCAACAATATTTAACCAGTCTTTTGAAGAAGGCGGATCCAGTTTGTACGGGACACAGCAATTTATACCAGTGACCAACAGCCATGCGTTATTTCTCTCTAGCTGGATGAGGACGGCTGTTAGTTTTGATAGAGTTCTATGAGACTGCTGACTTTAGGTGGGGAAAATACAAATAAGCAAAACACATCTACAGAGAAACAAGAAGTGGAAGAAGTTCCACTTTATATCACCACGTTCTGTGCTTTCTCTGCATCAAAGTTAAACTTTTTTGTTTTTAACATGTGTTGATGATGCTATTTTGATAGCCCTTCTTGAAGCACAGGTTTGCATTAACTTTGCCACACTGAGTTGGTTTTAATTTTCATCATTATCTGAAATCTGTGGTGTACCCCAAGGTTCAATTTTTGATTGATTATTTTGATTTCTCTTGACACTAGTTGTCTTTGGAAATTGATCTAACATCCCATCGCATTCCCTGCTATGCAGAGGACAAAGGGATCCTTTTGTTTTAGCTTGTCCCTGGATTATCACCTGCTGAAATAGTGAAAAGAAATTGTGAAATGCTGTCTGAGGCATTTAGAGGTTATATCAGATGTCACTTTGATCTGTCCCATTAAGACCACCCTTGTCCACTAGTTTGATAGCATAAAGTTAAATAACAATTTTTTTAATAGTTTCATTTGACCTGAAAGGAGCTGCTCTGTCTTCCTTCCTCCAATTAAAAAACATTATCGATAAGTTGCTTTAACCCACCAAGGTGAAAAGAG